AAGAGTGCTAAATAGGCAATATAACCAGTTTGAAGATGAGTTTCCAAAGCAAGCAACAAAGTATATGTACAAATCATACATAACGTAAGCAAGGGAGGACCTCCATTCTGCTTAGAAAATACCACACTTCGACAAATTATTAAGAACTTCAGCCTTATGCCACCAACCTTGCTTCTTCAGTATCTGGAACAACTATATCCAGTCTCATCATAGGCCTATAAGCATCAGGTATCTCTGCACCAGCCTGCACACAAACCTCTACCACAGCTGGAGCCTTCCCATAGAACCTCTTGAGAGCACCAGTTGGCGGTGGCCCCTTGGGATCCTTCATATGCCATACAAAGTTTGGTGGCATCACCTCATCAATTGTTGCATCCTGCCAACCATGCTTCCCATCCCTCCACTGGTGTTTAAAGGCCCCACAAAGCTTTGCATTGTGCCCCCATGGTCCAACATGGACCTCCGAGCAATACCCGCATGCCTTTACGGTATACTTCCTCATCAGCTGCCTTACACCACTCCTCACTGTGCTGTAAGCCTTCAAAGTCCTTTCTGCAGCCTTTCTGGTGTCAGCGGGTGGTGAGATTAATTGACTATTAAGGACTGCATACGTATCAATCTCAGAAAGCAGGGTCATTATTTCTTGAGATCTGCATGGCTTCGGCTCCTCCACAAATCCACCACGGTCAATCATCTTCTTGCCAAGCATTCTGACTGGAGCGGAACGTCTTCTGGAAGGGTATTGAGGCAACTCGACACCGGCTTGAATGCAGAGCTCCACAACTGCAGGTATTCGCTCATAATTGAAGCGAGTTTCATGTTTGATGCGATGCCCAAAGGGATCGAATAAGTGATAGGATTCGATAGGGATGAGGACATCATTGATGGTTCCGTGAATCCAAACATGCTGACTTCTTCGTTTAACATTTTGAGGACCGCTGCAATCTTGTATTGAATGGCCGGTGGAGCCAACATGGACTTCTGGGCATTCTCTGTTGTGCATCAAGAAAAGTTACTTAGTGCCAACTGGAACAACCTGTTTGGGATCTTGGGCACGGGCATGGAAAGCACGCAGACATAATGACTAGACTAAGCAACACCCAAGTTCTCGAAAAAGAAGGAAAGGTTGCTTGCCAATTTTGAAAATAGAGCCTTCATAGCATCAATTAGCAATCAAAAATAGCAGGCTATCATATTAAAATAGAGCCTTCATAGCATCAATTAGCAATCAAAATACAACATCAGTTTTAAAATAGCAGGCTATCATATTAAAAAAAAATGCAAATCGTTCATTTCAAGATAAAAAATAACTGTATGACATAGCATTAATGTATGCCAAATAAAAAACAGAATTTCTTACCATGTTGTGCTTGATATTGACCAAGACTTGTTCAAAATGAAAGCATACAAGTGATTACTAGAGGACTAATGCACGGATACAAACACGATGATAACACAGATACCAGACAACAATTGAAACCATAATGCATGATAGTGATACATTTATAGTTCTCATGTCTTCCTGACTCATAAATCACAAGAAAGAAAAAAAAAAACTTCTTAATATAGTTTTTAATGGATTAAGAAAAAAACAACTAATAGCAGCACAAAAATATTAAACAAAAATACTAATAAGCATTGACATGTTAGTATTGACCCTTGCCAACCACAAAAAATGATATTAAAATTTTCTAATTAGAAAACACTAAGAGAATGTTAAATTTGAGTCATTCCAGGCTATTCCTCATAAGCCCCTCAAAATCAGACATTCGTGGAATTTTATTTTATTTTTTATCATACAAGTAGTGTCAATAAATGTAATGTCATTGCATCCTATTATAATTTAAGGTGCCTCTGAGTCCTAGTGTCCCTCACCGGCTGTTAACGATCTGATTTCGAGCAAAGTCAGGGTTGGCTCAAAATCAGCTTGAAAAAAATTCGATCCAAAATTTTGGCTCATAGCTCGACTCATTTATTTCGACGCAATCTCGATTTGAGCCAAAAATCGAATCGATTTTTAGGCAATTAAACATCTTTGAGCTAAATTTGCTAAATTCACAGTCATACGCTATTAATGATCCAATATCGAGCCGAGTCGGGGTTGGCTCAAAAGAAATTCGATCCAAAATTCTGGCTTGTAGTTCAATTCATTTATTTCAATCCGATCTCGATCTGAGCCCAATTTTCGAGCGATTAACGATCTTCGAGTTAAATTCACAACCCTACCCTCACCCCAACCCAAAATAAAAAAAAAACAAACACTTGGACTAAGAAAAAAAAAATCTTTATGAAATGCATCCCAATAAAAAATGAGTAATATAATGAACAATAGAAGTAACA